ATATACCCCAGAAACCCTTGAAGTAAGGCAATCAGAGGTCCCAGGCGAAATCCACAATGGCGCCCACTTACTGGCCTTGGATATTTTATACTATAAAGGGGTAGACCTATATATACTTATCATACGTCATTTACAGAATTACATGGGGAGCGCCTATGGTTTCAACAAAACATTTAGCAGAAAAAAGTAACCGTCTTACTGATACAATATGTTGATAAGTTTATTTCCTTTAGTTTTTTTGCATGCAGCTGTTTATTTCATGCAATTTTATATACGGACATGTCCGTTTGACCTTTTTTCTGCGTTTCTGTACTATTGGATGAGTCCATTTGTCTTAGACTAGGTAAGGGGTGTCACAATCATTTTGCGCCAAATGTCACGTGTATATCTTCGCGCCCTTTTCTTGGATGATTCCACTGCACTGAATGGAAATGAAAACTTCAAGTCTGTTCTTTCTATCGGAATTTCGAACTTTGGGGGAAAACATATCGGTGATATTGTGAAAGAAGTTAGAAGTTACATCATTTAAAGAAATAAAAACGAAACGGAAAAAGATTTTTTAAGAGAAAAATGGCCAAATAAACATAATATTTCTGTTCATATCTCGCCCGGACTCGCAGCCCCTACCCCCCCCCCCCCCCAAGTTTTCAAACATAAAATTCATTCTACTATGAAACACAGAAAATAAACTTAGGAAAAGTGTCCCTCCTATTCCAGGATTAAGGAATATAAAGAATCACCGTCAAGTTCGTTGGGTCATATATGCATAACGGGTGGTTTCCAACAATCGTTGATGCTCTGGCATACCCAACAATCTAGTACTTAAACATATTCTGCATGTAAATCATAACGATTCATTTATTTCTTGTAGTTATCATATTCTCAGCTGTCTTCTGGTAGTCTATGCAGTTGAATCTTATTCTAAATTTTAATTTTAAAATTTATAGATAACGTTTACATAGGCACGGCTTTCCAGCATACATTAATTCATTAGTTCATTTCCCTTATTTAATTACTACATTTTCTAAAACCATTTATAGAGTTGCGGAATGATGAGCTTAGCTTTACGTCGCGTGTTCGAATCCACTGCAGGACGTGGAGATCGGTCCTTAGGATGAGACCGTTTAAAACCAGGTCCCGAGTCGCAGTAGGTGTTAGCACGAAAAAGATTACTTGAAACTGCTCATTGGTCCTGAGTTCCAAGTATTGGACTTTTACGAGAAGCACTGACTTTTACAATCGACGCTTACATTTAAATTTAAACCTGCCTTATGTAAGGAGGCAGAGAATTGATAATATTCCTTTATTCTGTGGATATAATTAAAGGTACTTGGACACAGATTTGAAGTTATTATTTTCTTTATAATATTACGACTTATATATTTTAATAGCATTTCACACAAAAATTAATCAAAAATCTTATTTCGTTTCAAAGATATTGAAATTTCAAATTTTTCGGCGGGTTTGATTGACATATCCTTGCACTCTCACAAATTTAATTTTATTCTTAATCCTTAGGAAAAGTGGACAATCTCGTTTTATATATATGAAAAATATTGATACTATAATCCAGAAAATTCAGAATAGACACGTTCGAAAGCAAAACAAACACACAATATATTTTCAGTCCGTGCAGTTGTGGTAAGCAGAATGTGACGACTGAACGCACCCAGTGAATTCTAAATATAAACAATAACAGAACTCGAGCCCTGTTTACAAAAACTGTGTACATAACACGAGTGTGCTCGATTAGCTAAACTCTGTACGCATCTCTTAGTTCGGAATGACGATACTTGTGAAGGTTTTTTGCTTTCTAACATTTCTACCCTGAATAAAATTATTTTTCTTGATAAAAGATTTAATATTTCTCATTTAAACACATCAAATTGCCACTGTTCCTAAGGATTAAGAATAAAGTTAAAATTTTTGAAAGTGCAAAGATGAGTCAATCAAACTCGCCAAAAAATTTAAAGTTTTAATAACTTTTAAATGAAATAAGATTTTTAATTAATTTTTGTGTGAAATGCTATTAAAATATATAATTCGTGATATTATACAGAAAAAATGAGAAAATATTAACTTCAAATCTGTGTCCAAGTACCTTTAAATCCAAAATAAAAGTAACATTGAAGATGACTTTTAAAGTTGACGACCACGCGATGAAAATTAGGGTATGCTTGATTGATTCCATGTTCTTTACGTCCAGTGTAAGAATTTGTTCCCTCAAATAGAGACGCTATCATATATATTGATTGGGATTTCTTTAAAAAAAAGTGATTTTACATTTCCAGTTAACAAGAAGTGATTGAAAATTCTAAAAGTACAGTTATATCATGTTGTAAATTTTGAATTTACTAGGGGGAGGTAAATATAAATTTACAAATTTTGCATTTACCCCCCCCCCCCTCACCCCACCCCAGTAAATTCAAAATTTACAACATGATAGTAACTTGTATTTCTACGGAAGCCCGTTTGTGCCACGTACGAAAAATATTTTATCTGGCGGCCGCCACTTATTATTTGGCGGCCGCCACTTGTATATCTGGCGGCCGCCACATAATTATGTGGCGGTCGCCACTTATTATTTGGCGGCCGCCACATATATATCTGGCGGCTGCCACTTAATATATGGCGGCCGCCACATAATTTTTATGGCGGCCACCACATAGTTTTTATGGCGGCCGCTATATAATATCTGGCGGTCGCCACATAATTTATCTGGCGGCCGCCACTTATTTAATTGGCGGCCGCCAAATATTTATCTGGCGGCCGCTACATAATATTTGGCGGCCGCCACATAATTTATATGGCGGCCGCCAGATAACACCTGGCTTCCTGAATCGCGCTCATGTTTTAATGTGTGGTTTAAGAGGTGGATACAGTGTAAAAATTATAATAGCAACATCAATCAACCAAACTTGTAAGAGATTTATTATGAACCAACACTCCAATCCACACTTCTAATAGATATGTTTTTGCATAGAGCAGATTAATTTTTGATTTGAATGAATTATGCAATTATTTGTAGAGTGTTTCGATTATTAAGAAGCCTCATCAGGGGTCACGGACATAAATCAAGGTGTTTGCTGTAAGCTATGATTGGTTGAGAATTAAATGAAGTTTTGCATTTTGGATTTCCAAGAATGGTGTTCCAGTATTTCAGAATTCGTTTTTTATCATTTACTTTTTTATCAATATTCAGCGGTTGTGTCAACATCCATCTTCTTAACCCAATTACACTCACCTTTTGCAAAATAATTTATGTAGCGGCCGCCAGATATATAAGTGGCGGTCGCCAAATATATATGTGGCGGTCGCCAAATAATAAGTGGCGGCCGCCAAATATATATGTGGCGGCCGCCAATTAATAAGTAGCGGCCGCCAGATATATATGTGGCGGCCGCCAGATAAAATATATTTCATACGTGGCACCAACGGGCTTCCGTATATTTCAAATAAATGAAGCTATAAATTATACCAATCTAAGCATCAACTTTTCAATTAAAAAATAACTTTAAAATTTCACACTTATACTCTTTATATTGATTGAAGAAAAAAAATTGTAATTAAATGTTTTATTTTTCATTTCTTCTATAAATGAAGCCATATACAATATAAAAACTCGTCGTAATTTATATCTACGTTGTCTCCAGACCACACACTACTCAGAATCATATACGTTTTGATTTTACATATTGTGTGCTCTACCGTACACATGTCTTCTAAAATCAGGCTATTCATGCAATATCTGACAATTTCCTTATACCAGGAACACCTCGACCGTGTATTTGTTGTATAGTGAAAGGGGTTATGATTGCAGGCACGTAGCAACGGGGGGCACTTTTTTCCCAACATTACTTTAATTATTGGAAATGTTCATTGAAAGGATGGTTCCCCCCCCCCCCCCCGGCCCACGTGATACTACTAGGGAAATGTTATATTGAATGTAAAGAAGATTATTGTTACTGAAAGAAGTTGGCATTGAAAAAAAGTTTGCCACTCCTACCCCCCCCCCCCCCCCGGAAATAGTATTTTCGAGTTTGGGCAATTTTTATTTATTTATTTATTTATTTAATTTTGCTTTTCAACTTTTTCAGGAAAGTCCAAAAAAAAATTTCTCAGATCTCAGGCTGCCCCCCCCCCAATTTCAAACACGATGGTGCGTGCCTGGATTGGATGTCGGTTTGGATAAATTTTGTCACCTACATGTAGCAAAAGGCATTCATCAGGGAAGGGTAGTTCGACTCTACCTACATGTATTTCCGGAAGATGCACCCCCCTAGCCCCCGGTTCTGGTGCCTATACAAAGACAAATTTTCAAAATGAAAAATTACGAGAAATGGGAATTACTATTGTAACTGTATTCACAGTATTGATAAAGTATTGTTTAATCCGGAAAGTCATGAAACAGTGAATATTTTCAATTTTTAAGGGATTGAAATTATAGTATAGGCTACTGCTAGTGTGTTCATTCAAAACACAAGGGTCGTACATGCGTAATTAACAATACCATGTGTTCCTGATCATGCGTCAATGTATGCACATTTGGGTTAAAATTATAATCATTCATATAATATATGAACTCTCACGGATCCTGAATTTTTTCCAGGGGAGGGGGTAAAACTTTTAATCACTCCATCAAAGTAAATATGAAATCTGTTGAATAGTTTCGAAGTGTTTTCGAAAACTAGACCAAGACAAAGCAAAGCTTAACTATTGCTACCTTCCGTGGGCTATTTGTTTCTTGTAAATACATCTTACAAATACCGAAAAAAGACGTGACCCACATCTCTTCTGACTCCGAAGCAATGTAAATTTACTCCCTCATACGTTGAAAACGACTCCCCCATACTTTTAGCGACTCCCCCGCGTTACCCGTTGTATATGGTGATACATGGTCTGTTTAGAATTTTTTGGTAACAACCGCGTGTTCAGTTTATTTCCTAGCGAAACCATGCCTATTTTTAGCTTGTTGTTTTCCATATTTGGGAAATCCGGTTTAGTCCTCTAAATCTGCCCGGAAGTGAAGGGACCCCATTCAACACTGACCATCACTCACTGTGTGACGGCGATTAAGAATAACGCAGTTTAGGCGATTCTCTCTTGAAAAGGAAAAAAAAACCATGGTTCATGTATTCATCATTGGAATAACTTGTTTGATGGCGTGCTTTTCAGGTAAGTTTACAGTTCAAGTCGGTTTCAGTACTCACAAAAATATATTATACTGCTTTGTCAGACGCGGATCCAGGTTTATCTATCGTACCAACCAAATAAATAAATCCAACCCATAATACGTTTAACAAAGAAAATTGACTTCATAAACCCTCATAAGCACAATCTCTTGATTAAGCTATATAGCTTCAAAAAGCTATATAGAGCTTTATTAAGCTATTCAAAATAGCTTTATAAAGCTATTTGTATGCAATTTTTCACAAAAACGTTTTTGAAAGAAATAAACAAAAAGTCGCAAATATTTGACTATTCATTTATTTACTATGGACTATCAAAAATACAACCTAAATCATAGAAAGTTCTAACATTGCTGTTGTTGAATACTTTTAAGCAAAATATGAATTTCCATTGTTTGAGTAACTGTGTGTGCGGTGAGGCATGGGTCAGTATGATTGCTTCGCATTGTGCTGAACTGTTACTAATCATTTATCCTCTTGGCCATAACTGGCATCCTTTATAATTTCATTCAAGAAATAACTGTGTGGTCAATCATCAATAGCTCCAAAACTTTTAAAACTTTGAGTACAAAGTCTCTCAAGGATACGCAATTTGGTGAGTGATTTTTACATGCATTGTATTCAGAAAAATACAAAGTTTGATATTTCCACTGCACCAAGGTGCGACTTTTTGTTCGTGTTGAAAAAATAACACATTTGAGAAAAAAGTCTGAGAAAATAGCTTAATCAAGCTTTTCTGAATAGCTTAATAAAGCTATATAGCTAAATCAAGCTGTATAGCTTAATCAAGAGATTGTGCTGGACCTTTCCTTAAGTTAATGGGAAAAACCTAATATTCAGAGCGGTAAGGATGCGAGGGGAGCCGCTCACTTCTACTAAAGCATCATCTGTTCATATCTTTGACTTTTCATAACCACTTTTAAAATTAACACGGGTCCAAGGTCACTTTAAGTTGGATTAATATAAACATACAAAATCTCTGCAAATTGCAGAGGGTAAGGGGCGACCCCTTCTAGATCCGCGCATGTTTTGTTCTGATTTCATTTTAACTTGGCACACAGACTGACAGATTGAAGTAGTTTCTCAAGTCAATACAGTATACACGCAAACACAAATTCATGTACTCGTCAGTTTTAAATAAAATGTTTTTTTTTTGTTTTGACAACTTTGTGGTGTATATTTTTTATTTGACAAAATATTTGCCAAACCGATGATTGTTTGCAACAGGCGAGATACCATTACCAATTTTATTGTTCTCTTCACTAAGGGAATATCCCTGTGATCTGCCTTTAACTATCAGTGGCGGATCCAGAGGGGTTGCAACCCCCCTCCCCTTCGGATATTCAAAAAAGGAACTGAGAAAAGAAAGTTCCAAATATTTGTTTCGTTTTTAGCTCACCTGAGCCGAAGGCTCAAGTGAGCTTTTCTGATCACATTTTGTCCGTCGTCCGTCCGTCTGTCTGTCAGTAAACTTTTCACATTCTCAACTTCTTCTCAAGAATCACTGGCCCAATTTTGACCAAACTTGGTTCAAAGCATCTTTACGTGAAAGGGTATTTAAATTGTTAAAATGAAGGGCCAAGTCCCTTCACAAGGGGAGATAATCTGGAAAGGACAAAAATAGGGTGGGGTCATTAAAAAATCTTCTCAAGAACCACTGGGCCAAAAAAGCTGAAACTTATATGGAAGCATCATGAGGTAGTGTAAATTTTAAATTGTTCAAATCATGACCCCCGAGGATAGGGTGGGGCCATAATGGGGAGTCAAAGTTTTGCTTTGAGATATGTAGAAAAAAAATCTTTCAAAATCTTCTTTTCAAGAACCACTGGACAGTAAAGCTGAAACTAAGTGGAAGCATTCGGGGATAGTGTAGATTCTAAATTGTTGATATCATGACCACCGCAGGTATGGCGGGGCCACTATGGGGAATCAAAGCTTTGCTTAGAAATATGTAGAAAAAATCTTTCAAAATTTCTTTCTCAAGAACTACTGGGCCAGAAAAGCTGAAACATATGTGGAAGCGTCCTGGGGTAGTGTAAATTCTAAGTTATTAAAATCATGACCTCGGGGGTAGTGCGGGGCCACAAAGGGAAATCAAAATTTACATAGAAATATATAGGAAAAAACTTTCAAAATCTTCTCCTCAAGAACCATTTGGCCAGAAAAGCTGAAACTTATGTGGAAGCATTCTGAAGTAGTGAAAATTCTAAATTGTTGACATCATGACCCCCGGGGGTAGGGCGGGGCCACTATAGGGAATCAAAGTTTTGCTTAAGAATATTTAGAAAAAATCTTTCAAAATTTTATTCTCAAGAACTACTAAGCCCGAAAAGCTGAAACTTACGTGGAAGCATCCTGGGATAGAGTAGATTCTAAATTGTTCAAATTATGACCCCCAGGGGTTGGGCCGGGCAACAATGGGGAATCAAAGTTTTACATAAAAATATGTAGACAATTTTTCAAAATCTTCCTCTCAAGAACCACTGGGCCAAAAAGGCTGAAACTTATGTGGAAGCATCCTGGGGTAGTGCAGATTCTCAATTGTTCAAATTATGACATCCGGGTGTTGGGCGGCGCTACAATGGGGTATCAACGTTTTACATAGAAATATACTGGAAAAATCTTTAAAAATCTTCTTCTGAAGAACCACTGGGCCAGAAAAGCTGAAACTTATGTGGAAGCTTCCTGGGATAGTCAAATTGTTCAAATCGTGACCCCCGGGGGTAGGGTGGGGTCACAATATGTATTACAAGCGGAAAATCTAGTAAAGAACAGCATGGTGGAAGCTTCTCAGGTGAGCGATGTGGCCCATGGGCCTCTTGTTTTAGCGAAAGGTTCTGCTGTACGACGGCGTATCCGTGCAATATTTACATGAAGAAAAAAAATTAAAATCGTTTGTACGATTTTTAAAATCGTTTGAACGACTTTTTAAATCGTTTGTACGGTTTAGAAAGTCGCTTGAACGATTTTTAAAAAATTGTTTGAACAAGTTTTAAAAAATTGTTTGAACAAGTTTTAAAAAATTGTTTGAACGTTTTTTTAAAATCGTTTGTACAATTTTTATTTCTTGTTATTACACGTAGAAGAAGCGTAGTAGAAAACCTTGCACAAATAGGACAACATATCCACGCATAGTTTTAATGAATGACAGATAAAAATTTATGAAGGGATCTTTCAAGATGGGCTTCACTTTCTCGGAAATTGCACAGATCACCGAATCTTTGTTAGTCAACGAACGTTGAAAACGACAACATCTAAGTTGGAAACTGTTCTGCACATCTAATGACAACAATCATCCCCAAAAGATGATTAGGCTGCTAAGTAAAATGTAAGAGAATATCAGGGAACGTTACTTATTTTTTTTTATAAAAAAAATATATACCCTTACCTTATAATAAACCCCTTGGTTTATTATAAAAAGGGTATACCTTTTTGCACATCTAAAGAAACACCACTAATCATCCCACATAAAGATGATTAGGCTGCTTTTCATGTAAAATGTAAGAGTCAATTGCATGGATACAGGTGGTTGTACTTGAAAGCTATTATTATGGCAGGATTTACCGTTTCTCAAGAAGTTGTTCTATGCCTTCTTTCTATACAAGTTCCGGATGGAGTGTGTTTAAGGAAAAGAAACAGATTATATAAATTACGTATGGTCCAAATTACGTGATATGATGGTTTACTAATAAAAGCACTACAACAATATTCATAGTTTGATTAACAAGATACAGTTTATTATAAGTGTTTCTGTACCTGTTATAGTCAGCAGCGATCGAGGGACTTCGCTTTACCAGGTTGTTTATTCAGTACACTTCTGTTCCGAATCAAAAGAAAAAACGTACAAACGTCCAAGAAAGACGATAAAAAAATGGATTAGTATATATTTTGGAACTATTTTGGTTGTAAATGATTGCATAAATAAACGTTCTTAAATTTTACTATGATCTTTCAGCAACATGTAACCATCCTTATTAATCTAATAGATACAATTTTTTGTCAAATGAAATATTTTGATGTTTATTTTTCGTATGCATATGTTCAATACATCCGGTCACCATTTTGAAGAGGGACACTTGTAGCGATGTGTCAACCGTTCCTCCTCAAAAATAAGTAGAGCAATTATATTTCATGGGGGAAAATTTGACTCTGTGGTAAATCGCACTCTATAACTACTACACAGAGTAGGATTTCCCCCGGAAAATTGACTCTGGTGTGGGATTTCCTGGGGGGAAATCCTACTCTAGAGCCAGTTTTCCGGGGGGGGGGGTAACACTCTAGAGCCAGTTTTCGGGGGGGGGGTTTAACTCTAGAGCCAGTTTTCCGGGGGGAAAGATTTTACGGGGGAAAGCCTACTATACAAGACCGGTACAAAATTTTTTTCCAGGTTGATTAACCTTCCACTATTAAAAACCATACTCTACCCGGTATCCTATTGAGTTGTTTAACTTCATGTATGTGTAAAACGTACTTTATGCCTCTTATCCTCTTCAACCCCCCCCCCCGCCTTTTAAAAAAAAATCTAGATCCGCGCCTGACTATATTTGTGTTATATACTTATTAGTTTGATTTAATAGATGACAATTCTCACTCAATATACATGTACTTTGTCTTAGTTATCTTTCAGCTACAGCTTATGCGATAGCCAAGTCAGATCACTATAGGATTACATAAAGATAATATATGATAACTAGAGGTACTGTGAGCAATCAGCTCACTAAATGATACCTCCGCCTCCCATATGGTTTTAACTGATGACAAAGTCCATGGTTTGCCATGGCCGGGAAACCCAAAATATGTGTCAGATCAAAAAGTAAAATAGGAGGTGCACATACGTTATAAAGATTCTTTGAAAGTTTCATTAAATTTCACTCAGTGGTATAAGAGGAGTTGCGGATAAGAGATAGGTACCCTAAAGCGTAACAGACGGACGGACGTACAGACGGACGGACGGACGGACGGAATTAACGATTACTATATACCCTCCCGCTTTTCAAGCGGGGGGTATAACTAGCACGAACACGTGTAGTCAAGATATACCCACGACAATAAAGCAATCGGGTGTAGTGAATGCGAAAGGTATATCGGTATATCCCAGTGCAGATATCGTAGATAGATTTATCGATAATGGAGTATGCCTATTACCGAGTCGTGCTCGGTTTTATATTTATACCCCCCGCTTGAAAAGCGGGAGGGTATATAGTAATCGTTAATTCCGTCCGTCTGTACGTCTGTCTGTACGTCCGTCCGTCCGTCTGTTACGCTTTGGGGTACCCATCTCTTATCCGCAACTCCTCTCATACCACTGAATAAAATTTGATGCAACTTTCACAGAATCTTTATTACATATTGCCATTGTGCACCTCCTATTTTACTTTTTGATCCGACACATATTTTGGGTTTCCCAGCCAGAGGAAAACATGGACTTTTTCACCAGTTATAACCATATGGGAGGCGGGGGGTATCATTTAGTGAGCTCATCGCTCACAGTACCTCTAGTTTGGTGTATTATAGTAATTGGTATTTAAAGTGTAAATGAATATTAATTAAAACTAGAGGTACTGTGAGCAATCAGCTCACTAAATGATACCCCCCGCCTCCCATATGAATATAATGACAGTGTCCATGTTTTGCTCTGGAAAATCAAAAATATATGTCCGATCAAAAAGTAAAACAGGAGGTGCACAATGGCAATATGTAATAAAGATTCTGTGAAAGTTTCATTAAATTTCCTTCAGTGGTATGAGAGGAGTTGCGGATAAGAGATGGGTGTCCCAAAGCGTAACAGACGGACGGAAATACCGATTACTATATACCCTCCCACTTTTCAAGCGGGGGGTATAAATTTAAAATAAAACATTGGAAACTGAGATGATTAATGTCTTAATTAGCTCTACAATAGAAGAGCTTATGTGGTAGTCCGGTGCATGTCCGTCCATCTGTCTGTCTGTAAACAATTTTTCAAAATGCTACTACACCTACAGTTTGGTCTGATTTCAATATAATTTGGCACAAATTAAGAAAAGTAGACTACACTTAGATACATAATTCTGTATATCGGTTTTTGATTTCGACGAACGGTTTTCCTTTGGTTACTAAAAATAGAAATTTCTGTGAAATACATTCAAAATGCTACTCCTTCCACAGTTTTAGTCCGATATCATTATAACTTGGAACACAAGTAGACTACACTATGATACACAATTCTATTTATCGGTTTATTTTGATGAATATTGTTGCCGTGGTTACTAAAAATAGAACTTTCAGTAAAATATTCTCAAAATGCTTCTCCAAAATAAGTTTTAGTCTGATTATAATATAATAGATTATGGCATGCAAGTAGACTATACTGAGATACTTTTTTTCAGTTTGATGAATGTTGTTGCCATGGTAACTAAAATTGAAAATACTGTAAAATTTTATTAAAAGCTACTCCCACAGCTGAAGTGTAATTGCAATATATTGCCACAAAAAGAGACTTAATCAAGGATCATTATTCTATGTATTGCTGTTGTAACGTTTCAAGTCCGAACTGCTATTTTTCTGTTCCTTTGTTATTAAAGTACAAACCAGTAGAGCTTCAGTCTCGACAGAGAATTCATCCATCATCTAAGATAAAGGAGCTTTAAGGATAAGTTTTTAAAAAGGTCAGAGGAAATTCAGATTACAATATCTTTTTTCCAATTCATGTACATATAAAATTTTGCCCTCTTTTTTAACAACCACATATCACTTCTTAAAATGGAGTTGAAATATAATATGGTCTTCTTCAGATGCTGTTGCCATGGAAACCAAATCATGTACTTCTATAAGAACTGTTGTTTTTAAACAAGAAACTTGTCCTTTATCTGTCGGGACCAATTTTTTAAATTTTCTAGATACTTTCTTGTCATGTTTACGTAAACCCGATTAGTACAAAGGGGTTGGTCATGACTTATTCGTCTTCTTTACATTTGACAATCTCTTTACTGTAAAATATACTTTTGGGTATTTTATAGTATAAGTATGGTCAAATTTAAAGAAGAAAAATAAGTCATGACGAGCCCCTGTGCATAAGGCTCACGGATGGTTTTGCTAGTTGACAGCAAATGCATTTACCACCTAAGCACTTGACAGCACATGGAAAATATATTTATGGGTCCGTATTTGAATACCTCAGTAAAATATCTATGGGTCCGTATTTGAATATCTGTTTAAAGATATTCTATTTTCTTCTATATAGAGTTTACTGTTCGCTCTCTTCACATTTTACATTTGATATTAATTCCATTGTTTACAATATTTAGGTCTGTCCAGTGGACAGTGTGACATGGCCGAAGTCTCTCAATGTTACGATGATCGACGACTGCGTGTAAAGACGAATAATGACCCCCATCGAATAATGACCGGGGGTCATTTTTCGATAGCGAAAAATGACCCCCGGTCATTATTCGACGTAGAAAAATTACCCTTTTGCCCGTAGAAAAACTGTCACCACCCTAAAAATTTGCTGGGTCATTATTCGTCTTTACACCTGCATCTACTGCCGCACGGACCTCGGCGTATGTGGTCTCATCCAAAGGAACGGTGTACATGTCCTGCAGTGGATTCGAACCCAAGCCTTTAGGATCAATCTTATTTTGCGACTCTTGAACAGACCTCTACATATTTGATCAAAATGTAAAAAGGAAAGATCGAAATCGTTATTTTCATATGCCTCAATCCTAATATGAAATAAGAGTAGTTTAAAAGCATGCAAACTTCCAAATGTGTAGAAATAACGAAGCAGAAATATGTTTTTCCCATGAACAATTATCTGTATGAAAAGTATCAATAGTTTAACTTTCACCTTTGTACCATTTTATAAAAATGTTATAGCAGGAGGAGAGGACTTATATAGACAGTTCCTGCTTTCCATTTGTCCTGTTATGTTTATACATATATATAATTATATTAAAATATATTATTTGAATTTAAGTTGCAGGTGGATTCAGCTGTGATATAGAGATGTGTTTAAGAGCTGCTGGATTAAGTGTACTTAGTATCAAAGATAACATTAGCTGGTAAGCCGTTCTCATGTCAACTTTTATATGTGATCAATTTTAGTTAAAGTACTGATTTCTTACAGGGGTAGCACATGGACACATATTTAAGGCACACACAAAGTAAACTTTATCCTCAGTATTTATGAAAAGTGAAAAAGTGTGTTGTATATAACTTTTATATACTTAATCTGAAATCCGGAAAATACCGAGTAGAAATAAACGGAAGCAAATAACAGAAACTGCATTTTTGACGCTTATACGCCTTTAACATTTCATAAGAAATGTGTTTAACATAACCAAAATAACTTATTTTATAATTTCATACGCATCTTTGTAAGTGAAATGAGATAGCATGATGTTCTCAATATATTGATCTTTTACCAGTGCGAAACTTGCAGCAGTGTATCCCTGTATTCTGAGCCAAAAGAGCGCATGCGCGGGTGAAATAACGTACGATGCTTATGAGAGGTATATTCCAGATTATGAAGCAAGATGCGGCCCACTAGATTTCCGAGGTAAGAATAATCGTTAAAAATTCATTGATGATGAAGACGTCATATTCACAAAGAGATCTGTAATTTAAGAATTTATACATGTATTTTCTTTGACAGATGTTGGAAACTCGGTATTTCCAGAACTTTGGATCCTCCTCCCAGTTGTCTTTAAATTGCTGGCGGCCATTGATTTCTAAAACCAACATACTCTTTATACAGAACATTCCAAAACTGTAAATGACATTTGTTTCTATAACGAAAACCCAAGCATTTTCTAACGTGTCTAAATCGCAGGGTTGTTATTCCATCACAGATTGAGATGTTCCATGGCTATTTAGATCTTCCAGATATCATAAACAACATCTGCCTTTGACAGAATATTTGAGGAATTACCATTTTATGTAGTATAAATGGACCTGCTGAAAATGGTTGAAATTATTATTTGTAAATAATATATTTGTAAATAGTTGTATATACGTGCATGATTATCTGTTTGTGTTTGCAGTTATTCTATTTAAAGTTTTGTACTGATTAAAGAATTTTTGAATGCATTGAATCTTCATTGAATAGAAAAACGCTTGGGTTTAATTTAACAAAGAACAGGTTCATTTTAACAAAACAGCCTTAACAGTTTTTCAATCATCAGTTAATCCTTCCTTATGTGTTTTTATTTTTAAAAAAAATTGTTGTTCACTGCTGGTGACTTGACATTAAATTTTATTTAAAAGATCTTAAAGCAATATGAACTGCATTTTGGAGAAATTAATTTTGCTTTTAAAATATGCTATTATGATATATCTGTATGTAATTTAAAACCATCATTTTCTAACCATCATGTTTAAGTAGACTGATATAAAGAATTATTTTTGTTTTCAGAAGAAAGCTTTCTACAAAGGAATGTATAGAATTACAAAAGAAATCAATATTGTACAGGACGACATTAATGTAATTTGGCTTCAATCAAAGCATTTATAAATAGTCCTGTGTGAAATATAAAGAATAGAAGTTTATAAATGTTCTTTTTTCTGTCATTTAAATAATCACAATATTGCAAAAAAAAAATTTCGACATCAAACTTGCATCTCATTTTGCTTTAAAATTCCATAAGCCATGGAAAACAAAAGATCTGTATCATTGTCACTAACACCTCCAAGGAAAGCTTCGTTAGGAGGCTCAACAATTAGAATTATAGAAACATTACTGAAGGAAAATTGCATCAAGTATAAGCAAAACCTAAATCATAAATTTTTGATAAAAGTGTACGCGATCTCTCAATTGTTTGTCATATCGTCTGTAAATTTTCCCAATTTTAAACTTCTCAGAACCATTGGATCTAGAACATGTTTTGATAAAAGAAATCGTGGATTTTTTTGTCAAAGATAGGGTAATATCTTCTCTCAAAGTCTTTTATCCTCAAAACTATAGGGTCAGATTCATATTAGAAATTAGATCTAGAAGTTTGAATTTCTTCAATTCAGTGATGTAGCATCGTTTTTGAAAGATGGGGTGGGGAGGGGGGGGGGTGTTGAGGGCAACCAAAGGAAAAAAAAAAGGGAAAAAAATGTCCCACACTTGTAAATCCTTTTTCGTGGTGGTAGGGGTAGGTTTCAACTTAGTTCCAAAGAGCCATAGCGCATTTGATAGTCACTTTCGCCTACTCTAGTAGTGATTTTTTAAATACAGACCTGCCTACCCTTCCGCTTTTGGCGTAATTTTTCCGCTTTTTACCACAAAATTACGCTATTACGCCATTTATATTAATTTTACGCTTTTGATATCTTGGGTTAAAATCATAAATTGACAACTAAATTTTAAATTAAAGCACGTCCTGCTGAAACGAAATGAGAATTTCTTCTAATAAAAGTAATTAATAGATGACCAATTCGATATCTTACGTAATATACCTTGTAGTTACATACAGACTGGTTACCAAATATTCGAACGAAGTCTGAATACACAACTTACATGAACTGTTAAATGATATGATCAATAAGGACAGCCATTTCTATGCTCATTTTCGTTCATTTTTACATCGCTCACATGTAGAACAAGAAAGAGAAATGTGTGTTAGAAAGATAAAATACAATGTTAAAACGGTACGCGATTTGTGTAAACATGCAAACACAAGCCTTCAATTAAGCGATTTGATACAAATTGTCCAAATGTTTCCAGTAAGGGTGTACGGTTGCATTGAGTTTGATGTAGGAAACTGATTTTTACAACACTTTTCTTCCCAATAAATGATTCGAAAAAGAAACGTTTATGCAACCTTTGTTTAGTAATGTACAATTTCAGTTGTTTTAAAAGAAAAATTAAGTATTAAAGTAAAATACCAAAAGGAAAATATGATTAATTACGCTTTTACCTCTGAAATTCCACCAAAAATTTACTGAAATTACACCCTTGAAATGAAAAGGGTAGGCAGGTCTGTAAATACATTGTTTAACCAAAATGTTTATACATGCCTTAAAGGAAATCACACAAAAATGATATTCAAATATTAATAATTCCCTCATGTGATAGATATAAAAATCGTTCGGTTTATATGGAAAATATAGTAAATACTGAGGTATCCCCCTAAACAATGACAAACTGTAGTAAAAGACCACCCTTAACCAGATAAACAACTTCTGAATAACTTTATTTGGATATGACTGCACTTCATTACATTTAGATAATTTTGGTTAAAGGTGGTCTTCATATTGAAAATGTTGAAAATATGTATTTAATTTTTCTTCTCAAAATTATTTAAGATTCAACAATCTGTCTTAAAGTTGTCCAGCTAATGGCATAGAATTCGTGGCGAAGTGGTATGATTGGTGGTTTGTAGACATAATGATCGTTACTTGAGTCGGTCGTTTCGTCGGAAAGGTAGCTATCGACTCTTTGTTACTCAGAGACTGCGTTACCCTTATATAACCCATATTAGCCAATGCTTCAACCGAAAGGAGGGATCCGGACTTTCAATCAACATTTTCTATAGAAAAACAAATCTGGAAAAAAGTGTGTGATGGAGGGGGGAGAGCCCCCTCCTGGTACTACAAGCCTGCAATTCATTGACATAAGGAAGGGATAGAAGCTTTGAAAATAGAGGTGCCACCAAGTGCCATGAAGGAGTAAGCAATCTCTGTTGTCAATCGTCAAACTTTTCATGTTCTCTAGTTATGATCAGGTACTTTAGAAAACCACACAAGTCCGTTGTAAAGAACAAGTGCACTTATGGGCCCCGGTAAAATGTGAAAAAAAACAATCAAATTAAGCAAATTTTTATGCGCCCGAATTTTTTCGGGGCGCATATTGTTTTTGTCCTGTCTGTTTGTCTGTTTATCTGTTTGTCTGTTGTCAACTTTAACCTTCGCCAAAACTTTTGAACCGTAAGAGATAGAGACTTCATATTTGGTATGCATACTCCTCTAATGAAGTTCTTTCAAATGACATCAAAGTCAATGACCTTGTGACCTTGACTGTGACCTAAGCTATATGCTAAAAATAACCTTTTCAACTGTTTGTCATAACTTTTGAACCATAAGAGATAGAGACTTCATATTTGGTATGCATACTCCACTAATAACGTTCCTTCAAATGACATCAAGGTCAATGACCTTGTGACCTTGACTGTGACCTATATATTAAAAATAGCTTTTTCCACTTTTTGCCATAACTTTTGAACCATAGGAGATAGGGACTTCATATTTAGTATGCATACCCCACTAATTAAGGAGGCTCATTACACCACTTTTTGATGACGTACTACACAAAAAAATAAACCTCCATTGTTTCGTTGTCATTACTTTGGGGTCGAATATGGTTAGAAAACTTATATGACCCTGACCTTTAAAACGCTTTAAAAATAGATGAAACATGCGGTGTTATAAACAGTGAAAACAAAGTAACGGATTCATTTTACATACACCAAGATGGATTACTTTTCAGCAGAAACAAAAGAAAACAACAGCCAAATCGTCGCCAAACAAGTAATGTGCAATTTCTGACATGTCAAAGCAGTGGGCTCTATCAAGCAACGTGTTTGCATGGAGGAAATTCGAGTTTAAATCTACAACCTTGTTGAAATTAAAAATGTTATTTACTTGCACAATTTACTGTGTTGGTGTTAATTTATACATTTGCTTTATTGGTTTAAATATATATTATGGAAGTTTAAAGCTTTATTTTGAAATTTAGATGTAATGTTCAAACGTTCCTTTGTGTTTTGAGTCTTGGGTAATTAGGGAAGATAACTCTTGAAAAAGGACTTTTTATACCAAATATTTTCGAAATTGGAATTTTCATTTCGTTAAAACACTTTTCTTTCAATTTGTCACAAGCAATTCATTGAAATACATTTCTTGTCTCTTCAGAACTCATTTTCAAAATATTAAATGCGCAGATTATAAAGATAATGACATTTATTGTTTATCAGAAGAAAACTATTTTTTCTAATAAAATTAATATTAGGTATTATGAAGTATTTTCATTGTGTGTACTTGTCTAAAGAAAAAATCCATCATTTGACACTGAAAGTTCTGAAATTCTGGAAATAATAAACTTGAAATAAAACATTTCACTAAAATAAAAAGAAAGTTAAAAAATTCTTCAAAAAATATTTACGATATCAATATCTCCATTTGGATATTTGGCATCTACATGATAAGTGGTGCTGTCATGAAATCTAAAATAAACTGTGGATGTAATGAGTCACCTTAAGTTCTTACAAACAACACCAAGGTCAATGACCTTGTGACCTTGACTGTGACCTATATACTAAAATTAGCTTTTTTCGAACTTTGTTGTTGCCGGGCGCATATAGTGTTTCACAAACACATCTTGTTTCATCTCAAATCATTAATTCATATCTAAACCATACGATTCAACAAATTTACCGCTGAAATCCACGAATATACAAAGAACAAAACTATACAATGTGGTAGGGGTCAGCCGACACTTGCCATTTTCTATAGTAAATCGAGAACGGTCATTCATTTCAAAGCTTTTGTTAACTAAGAGCATAACGTTGTGCAAACTTGTGCGAACGAAAAAAGACGCATAATACATTCATAAAACTTTTGTGAAATTATGAAAGAACGAGGGCGCTTTTGATTGGCATTCGGCAGGAATCTGGGCGTAATTGAAAAGTGAAAATTTTATCGACATGTCATATGAAATTTTAACATTTCATTAATTTATTGGGTTCCTGTGCAACAGGAAAGGAAAATATTTCCCCGAAATTGAGCTATGATTTGCTAAAAAATAACTTGAAAATTGGCCAGATCAGACATTTGGTACAAAATGGTACATTTTTAAACACATTTTTCGAAAAAATTTCTATCTCTGGGTCTTCTCTCCATGATTTTGAAACGCTATTTGTGTGTATTTTAATTCAAAGAAATGAATACACTTTTTTAAAAAAAATAGAGAGAAGACTCAGAGACCATGAAAAATGAACTTTTCCCCAAAAAATCTAAATGTGTGGATGTGGTGCTTCTTTGTCCATTTAAAATCATTGATACATGTGTAGCGGTGATAGCTCAGTATTTTTAAACACATTTTTCTA